ACTAGGTTCAAGCAATTCACCTGCCTCAGCCTCCCAAGTAGCTGGGATTACAGGTATGTGTCACCATGCCTGGCTAATTTTGTATTTTTAGCAGAGATGGGTTTCTCTATGTTAGGCTCATCTTGAACTCCTGACCTCTGCTGATCTGCTCACGTTGGCTTCCCAAAGTGCTGAGATTACAGGTGTGAGCCACAACACCTGGCTAGTTTTACCTTTTAATTGCTTCTTTTTGGGTATGTGAGCAAATGCATATATTGCACATGTTTTTATTTTTCTCTCCCCTGCAGCCTAAAAATTGGTCTACACTTTGCTTTTTACGGTTTGTTCGCTTTTCGCTAATATGCCATGAAGCTCATTCTATAGCGTTATATAAAAATTCTTCATCCCTTTTTACATTTATTCGGAATTTAATAGCATAATTGTATTATCACTGTCAATTACTTTCTCTTTATGATAAGTATATCAGCCGGGTTCGTGGCAGAAAACAGATGGCACTTTCAAAACGGGTAATGTGAGAATTTCATCAAGGGACTATTTATAAAGATGTGGGCCCTGTGCATATAAATCACAAGGACAATGCAGTCCTCTAGGGACAGCTGCAGCAAAGTGCCTGTGGGGTAAGGAAGAGTAGGTATTAGAACCAGAGAGAGGGCTAGGGACAGGAGCTCAGACCTTGGGTTGAAGGAAACAGCTAGTCTGCTGTGAATCCCTAGGCAAGGAGCTGGGGGAAGAAAGATTCTCACTTCACTCTTGTTCCTCCTTGTTCCCAGTCTCCTACTGAGGCCAATCCCAGATGGAAATAGAGGCCACAAGAGCTCATGGTGTGGGCCACAAGGTCAGCCCCTCTGCCCTAGAGCAGATGGGGAGGGGCAGAGAGTGGATCTGAGGGGATAACTGGACACACCTGGCAAATTATACTCTTATTTTAGTGTTGTGATAAAAGGTTTTCTTTAAGTTAAATGTGTTTTGGTTTTAAAAAAATAAGTCGAGCCAGGCGCGGTGGTGCCTGCCTGTAGTCCCAGTTACTCGGGAGGCTGAGGCTGGAGGATCTCTTGAGCCCAGGAGTTCTGGGCTGCAGTGCGCTATGCTGATCGGGTGTCCACACTAAGTTCGGCATCAGTATGGTGACCTCCTGGGAGTAGGGGACCACCAGGTTGCCTAAGGAGGGGTGAACCGGCCCAGGTCAGAAACGGAGCAGGTCAAAACTCCCATGCTGATCAGCAGTGGGATCGCACCTGTGAATAGCCACTGCACTCCAGCCTGGGCAACAAGTGAGACCCCGTCTCTTAAAAAAAAAAAAAAAAAAAAAGTTGAAATAAAAGCAAATAATTCTATAGGTGTTCTGAGGATATGGCAACAAAGGTGACAGTGGTACCAGATGACTGAAGTCTCAGAAGTCCTGCTCTGGACTTGGATTACAATTATAAAATTAAAAGTATAAAATACTCCTTGTATTTTAGACACTGTCCTCCTCTCCCTCTTGCCCCCCGCCCTGGCTGTCCTTCCTGTGGCCCTTTGTGAGGCTCTAAGAAACATTAGGGAAATGATATTTTTAATTGTAAAGCACAAGAGAGGCCCAGAAGAGTCCCTGGGTGAAGGAGCTGGCGAGGCTCTGAAATGGATCCATATGCCCCTGGGCATCCCACGGCACTGAGCCCCACCCAGACCCACTCCCATGGCTGCCCTCCCACGAGCACAAGATGGCTTTCTTATTCCTTGGCCAGTTGAGCAGTTGAGGGAAGCTAGATGCTGCCTGTCTTTGGGGCTAAAACTCTGGGCTGGAAACTGCAGAGGATCTTAAGGGGTAGAAAGTCCCAGGCCTGGATTCAATCCAAGATGCACCTGGCCCTCAAGTCAGCCATAGCCTGAGGGGGTAAGAGTGATCTCAGAGAAACTGAGACTTCTCTCCAAGGAGCTGGGAGACAGAAAGCTATGTGATTGGGAGACGGGAGAGATAAAAAAGATGATTCTATTTTTTTTTTTTTAAGATGGGGTTTCACCATGATGGCCAGGCTGGTCTTGAACTCCTGACCTCAGGTGATCCACCCGCCTCAGCCTCCCAAAGTGTTAGGATTACAGGCGTGAGCCACTGTGCTCGGCAAAAAGATGATTCTAAAAGGAGGCATCCCCCCTGCCTCTTCCTTGCCTTCCATCTCTAGGTATTATCTCATTCATGTAAGTGAGTCCTCTCCTCTGAGCGGGGCAATGAGAAAATGGTAGGGACACAGTGGAAAACAACTAGTCTCTGTCTTTGTGGAACTCACAGGACAGTGAAGAAGACAGACGAGTAAACAGCTATGATGACTGGGCGCAGTGGTGCGTGCCTGTAGTCCCAGCTACTCGGGAGGCTGAGGTGGGAGGATCGCTTGAGCCCAGGAGTTCTGGGCTGTAGTGCGCTATGCTGATCGGGTGTCCACACTAAGTTTGGCATCAATATGGTGACCTCCCGGGAGTAGGGGACCACCAGGTTGCCTAAGGAGGGGTGAACCGGCCCAGGTGGGAAACAGAGCAGGTCAAAACTCCTGTGCTGATGAGTGGTGGGATCGTGCCTGTGAATAGCCACTGCAATCCAGCCTGGGCAACATAGCGAGACCCTGTCTCTTAAAAAAAGAAAAAGAAAGAAAGGAAAAACAGCTATGATGGAGCCTGTAGAGTGCAATGGTACCTAACCCAGACTTTGAGAGTCAGGACACTTTACAAAGTGATGAGTAAGCTGAGAACTGAAGGATGGTAAGAGTGAGAAGTTGATGTCCACAGGGGAGTTTTTACCGGGTAGAGAGAACAAGTATATACCACCACAGCTGAGATCCTCGTCTGACAGCAATTATAAGTGGACCAATTTATCAGAATGCATTGGAGGTGGAGAGGGTGAAAGGGGCAAGATTTGTAGAGAGATGAGGCTGGAGGGGCCTGCAGGGGCCAGGATATGCAGGGACTTGTAAGCCACCTTAAGAAGCTTGAATGGGCTGGGCGCGGTGGCTCAAGCCTGTAATCCCAGCACTTTGGGAGGCCAAGGCGGGTGGATCACGAGGTCAAGAGATCGACACCGTCCTGATCAACATAGTGAAACCCCATCTCTACTAAAAATACAAAAATTAGCTGGGCATGGTGGCGCGTGCCTGTAATCCCAGCTACTCAGGAGGCTGAGGCAGGAGAATTGCCTGAACCCAGGAGGCGGAGGTTGCGGTGAGCCGAGATCGCGCCATTGCACTCCAGCCTGGGAAACAAGAGCGAAACTCCGTCTCAAAAAAAAAAAAAAAGAAAAAAAAAAGAAAAGAAAAGAAGCTTGAATGGTATCCTGGAGGGAATGAAATGTTTAGGCAAGACAGTGACATCATCAGATTCGTGCTTAAGAGACTATTCATACTACACTAGAGGCAGCTCTTGAATTTGTCTCCACATTTCTATCTTCACTGTCATTCCCTGGACTGCTGCAGTAGCAAGTTCTCCCCACTGAGTCACCTAGCATGCTATGGCTCTGAGTGAATCTTTCCTTCTCTGTTGCCCAGACTGGAGTGCAGTGGTGCAATCATAGCTCACCACAGCCTCCAACTCCTGGGCTCAAGCGATCCTCCCACCTAAGCTAGAATAACAGGCATGTGCCACTATGCCCAGCTAATTCTTAAAATTTTTTTGTAGAGATGATGTATTAGTCTGTTCTCATGCTGCGTAAAGAAATACCAGAGACTGGGTAATTTATTTATTTGAGACAGAGTCTCACTCTGTCACCAGGCGCCAGGCTGGAGTGCAGTGGCACAATCTCGGCTCACTGCAACCTCCGCCACCCGGGTTCAAGCAATTCTCCTGCCTCAGCCTCCTGAGTAGCTGAGACTACAAGTGCACGCCACCACGCCCAGCTAATTTTTGTATTTTTAGTAGAGACGGAGTTTCACCATGTTGGCCAGGATTGTCTCGATCTCTCGACCTGGTGATCCGCCAGCCTCAGCCTCCCAAAATGCTGGGATTACAGGCTTGAGCCACCACACCCGGCCGAGACTGGGTAATTTATAAAGGAAAGAGGTTTAATTGACTTACAATTCAGCATCACCGGGAAGGCCTCAGGAAACTTACAGTCATGGCGAGAGGGGAAGCAAACACATCCTTCTTTACATGGTGGCAGGAAGAAATGCAAGGTGAAACAGGGAAAGCTCCTTATAAAACTATCAGATCTGGAGAGAACTCACTATCATGAGAACAGCATGGGGAAAGTGCCTCCATAATCTAATCACTGCCCACAAGGTCCCTCCCATGACATATGGGGATTATAGGAACTACAATTTAAGATGAGATTTGGGTGGAGGCATAGACAAACCATATAAGATAGGGTCTCTCTCTATATATATGTATATTTTTTGTTGTTTGGTTGTTTGTTCTGTTTTTGAGATGGAGTCTTACTCTGTCACCCAGACTGGAGTGCAATGGCATGATCTCTGCTCACTGCAACTTCCACCTCGGGGATTCAAGAGATTCTCCTGCCTCAGCCTCCTGAGTAGCTGGAATTAAACAGGTGTGTGCCACCATGCTCAGCTAATTTTTGTATTTTTAGTGGAGACAGGGTTTCACCATGTTGACCAGGCTAGTCTCAAACTCCTGACCTCACATGATTTGCCCACTTCGGCCTCCCAAAGTGCTGGGATTAGAGGTGTGAGTCACTGCCCCTGACCAGGGTCTCGTTATGTTGCCCAGGCTGGTCCCAACCTCCTGGTCTCAAGCAGTCCTCTGCCTGGGTCTCCCAAAGTGATGGGATCATAAGCATGAGCAAACATGCCCAGCCTAGGATATTTCACATAAATGGTATAATGCAATATATGGTCTTCTGTTGTTGCTTTCTTTCACTTAGCATAATGTTTTCAAGATTTAGGTGGCCTACTTTCTATAATGTCTTTTAGGCATTCTTTGTGTCTTTATGCATGTGCCTTTTCTCACCGACAAAGCCATAAGCCACCCATAGGCACAATTCATGTTTGAATGTGTATAGTCCCTAGAAAAGATTGCTCCGCATGCTCACTTCAGCAGCACCGATACCAAAATTGGAACGATACAGAGAAGGTTAGCATGGCCCCTGCACAAGGATGACACGCAAATTCATGAAGGGTTCCATATTTTTAAAATTTTCACAATCTGACAAAGGGCTAATATCCAGAATCTACAAAGAACTAAAGCAGATTTACAAGAAAAAACAAACAAACAAACAAACCCATACAAAAGTGGGCAAAGGATATGAACAGATACTTTTCAAAGTATCGTATGAGGCCAGCAAACATACAAAAAATGCTCATCATCAGTGGTCATTAGAGAAAAGTAAATCAAAACCACATCGAGATACCATCTCATGCCAGTTAGAATGGCGATCATTAAAAAATCTGGAGACAACAGATGCTGGAGAGGATGTGGAGAAATAGGAACACTTTTACACTTGTTGGTGAGAATGTAAATTAGTTCAACCATTGTGGAAGAGAGTGTGGTGATTCCTCAAGGACCTAGAAATAGAAATTCCATTTGACCCAGCAATCCTATTACTGGTTATATACCCAAAGGATTATAAATCGTTCTATTGGCCGGGTGCGGTGGCTCATGCCTGTAATCCCAGCACTTTGGGAGGCCTAGGCGGGTGGATCACCTGAAGTTGGGAGTTCGAGACTAGCCTGACTAACATGCAGAAACCTCGTCTTAAAATAAATAAATAAATAAATCGTTCTGTTATAAAGACATATGCACACGTCTGTTCACTGTGTCACTGTTTACAATAGCAAAGACCTGGAACCCACTCAAATGCCCACCGATGATAGACTGGACAAAGAAAATGTGGCACATATAAACCATGGAATGCTATGAAGCCATAAAAAACGATGAGTTCATGTCTTTTGTAGGGACATGGATGAATCTGGAAATCATCATTCTCAGCAAACTGACACAAGAACAGAAAATCAAACTCCTCATGTTCTCACTCATAGGAGGGTATTGAACAAAGAGAACACATGGACACAGGGAGGGGAGCATCACACATTGAGGTCTGTTGGGGGTGGCTAGGGGAGGGTGGGGAGGTTGGGGTGGGATAACATGGAAAGAAATGCCAGATGTAGGTGATGGGGGGATGGAGGCAGCAAACCACATGGCCACGTAGGTACCTCTGCAACAATCCTGCATGATCTGCACATGTACCCCAGAACCTAAAGTGCAATTAAAAAAGAAAAGAAAAGAAAAGATTGCTCTGCATGACCTTGCAGTAGTTAAAAAACAAGTCGGCCGGGCGCGGTGGCTCAAGCCTGTAATCCCAGCACTTTGGGAGGCCGAGGCGGGTGGATCACGAGGTCGAAAGATCGAGACCATCCTGGTCAACATGGTGAAACCCCGTCTCTACTAAAAATACAAAAAAACTAGCTGGGCGTGGTGGTGCATGCCTGTAATCCCAGCTACTTAGGAGGCTGAGGCAGGAGAATTGCCTGAGCCCAGGAGGTGGAGGTTGCGGTGAACCGAGATCGTGCCATTGCACTCCAGCCTGGGTAACAAGAGCGAAACTCCGTCTCAAAAAAACAAAAAAACAAAAAAAAAAACAAGTCAAATTCCTATCACAAGAGTCATTGCTACCCCGCAGTCTCCTGTGATCTATTTTACCACCCTGGGTACTGTCTTTATAGCACTTACCACAGATGAAATTGCCTTGTGTGTTTATTTATGAGCCTATTCTCTGTTGCCTTCTCCCCAGAATGTAAGTGCCATGAAAGCAGGGACCTAGTCTGTCTTTGTCACCACTGTAGCCCTTGTGCCTCACACAATGCCTGTATTTATTTCACAGTGATGATGTTTCCATTATCAAAAATTTACCATATTATTTTATATTTGTTTTACCATAATTTTAAAAATCAGCCTTTATAGTTACAAAGATTAGAAAATTTAAGAAATAATGTTACAGTTATTTTCAAGAAATTTACTTACTCCCAAAGTGCTTGGATTACAGGTGCCAGCCAGTACAGCTGTCCTTGCTTTTCTTGATGTTTTCTCTCTCTAGTGGTTTTTGCTTCTCTCACAGGCTTTCTTTGCCTTTCCCTCTATGCCTATTTAAAAAATGTAAAATGGGCTGAGCATGGTGGCTCATGCCTATAATCCCAGCACTTTGGGGGGCAGAGGTTGGGAGGTACTGCTTGAGATCATGAGTTCAAGAGCAGCCTAAGCAACATAGTAAGACCCCCCTCCCCCGCATCTCTATAAAAGTGAAAAACAATATCTGGGCCTGATGGTATGCACCTGTAGTCCCAGCTACTCTGGAGGCTGAGGCAGGAGGATCACTTGAGCCTGGGAAGTTAAGGCTGTAGTGAGCCATGATCACGCCACTGCTCTCTACCCAGGGTGACAGAGTGAGACTCTGTCGCAAAAAGATGAAAATTAAAATAAAAAGCAAAAGCATAGCCGGGCACGGTGGCTCACACCTGTAATACCAGCACTTTGGGAGGCCGAGGCGGGTGGATCACAAGGTCACGAGATCGAGGCCATCCTGATCAACATGGTGAAACCCCATCTCTACTAAAAATACAAAACATTAGCTGGGCATGGTGGCGCGTGCCTGTAATCCCAGCTACTCAGGAGGCTGAGGCAGGAGAATTGCCTGAACCCAGGAGGCGGAGGTTGCGGTGAGCCGAGATCGTGCCATTGCACTCCAACCTGGGTAACAAGAGCAAAACTCCATCTCAAAAAAATTTAAAAAATTAAAAATAAAATAAAAAAAAAACACAAAAGTATAAAATAACACATGATTATATTTTCGTACAAATTCAAGGCCAGGCACAGTGGCTCACACCTATCATCCCAGCACTTTGGGAGGTTGCAGCAGAAGGATCACTTGAGACCAGCAGTTCAAGACCAGCCTAGGCAATATAGAGAGACTCTGTCTCTAATTAAAACAAAGAAAAAAAGAAATTCAAGATAGAAGTATGAAGAAATAAATATAAAAGTCTCTCCCCTTCATCTTTTTCACTCCACTGTATCCCTTCCTCGAGGCTAACATTACTTACGGTGTTTTATGCATGCATGGCTGATCTTGATCTCTCTGCTGCTGGCCCTTTCTTTCTCTCTCTCTCTCTCTGGCTCTGTGCATGGGTTCATTGGGTCTCAGTCTCTCTACTTATGTTTCTTCTGTTTCTCTGTGTGTCTCTTTCTCTGGACTCTCTCAATGTCACTATGTCTCTTTCCCTTCTATCTCTGCCTCTGCCTCTTACTCTCTCTCTTTCTTCATCTCTGTCTCATTCTGTTTCTGCCTCTCTTATCAGAATACAGTTTTTAAAAGTTAAAAACATGACTCTCATAAAAAATGAACAAAAACAAATAAAAAATGAGCACGTTAATGATTTATTTAACCCATTAATGAGGGAATGCGCGGGATAGTAAAGCTGGTTCAAAGAGAATTCAAAAACAGATTATACAGCTACAGCATTCTTCTAATGCTGGAAAAAGACCACTGGGTAATATACAAAACTGGTTAATGCCCTACAAGGCAATTGCACTGTCACCTCTGGGATTTTTTTTTTTTTCTTTTCTTTTTTTTTAAGTGGGCAGAAACTTGCAAGTTAACGTGTAACTTCAAAGTCAGTGCCCTAATCAATAGTGAGCAGCAAGCCAAACAAAGATATATTCCCAAGAGACGATGATCCCTGGATGGACCTGTAGACCATGTTCCAGTCCAACACTGAGAGGACATGCCGTTTCACCCTTTTGTTTTGTTGCTAAGTTTCAGGTCAGTTTTCTTCACATGTGTTTCTGTGTCTGTCTTGTCTCTCTGTCTTCTTGCGCCTCTCTCTCTCTCTCTCTCTCTCTCTCTCTCTTTTAAGATGGAGTCTCGCTCTTTTGCCCAGGCTGGAGTACAGTGGTGCCATCTTAGCTCACTGAATAGCTGGGATTCCTCCTAAGTAGCTGGGATTACAGGCATGTGCCACTATGCCCAATTAATTGTGGTATTTTTAAAGCCGGGCGCGGTGGCTCAAGCCTGTAATCCCAGCACTTTGGGAGGCCGAGGCGGGTGGATCACGAGGTCGAGAGATCGAGACCATCCTGGTCAACATGGTGAAACCCCGTCTCTACTAAAAATACAAAAAATTAGCTGGGCATGGTGGCACGTGCCTGTAATCCCAGCTACTCAGGAGGCTGAGGCAGGAGAATTGCCTGAACCCAGGAGGCGGAGGTTGCGGTGAGCCGAGATCGCGCCATTGCACTCCAGCCTGGGTAACAAGAGCGAAACTCCGCCTCAAAAAAAAAAAAAAATTGTGGCATTTTTAGTAGAGATGGGGTTGTACCATGTTGGCCAGGCTGGTCTCGAACTTCTGACCTCAGGTGATCCACCCCCTCCCCACCACCTTGGCCTCCCAAAGTGCTAGGATTACAGGAAGGAGCCACTGCACTCGGCCTCTGTCTCTCTCTTGATCACAGCAGACTCTCAGTGCCTGTCGCTCCCTTCCACTGTCTGATTATGTCTGTCTTCCTTTGTCTCCTTTCTCTGTCTTGGTTTAACAAACTTATTTTAATCTCCTTCCCTTAGGGCTTGATCATGAGCCAGGACCTGCACCAGGAGCTACAGGGAGAGGACAGAGCTGAATCCGACATGCCCTTGACACTGTGTTTCTTTGCAGAATTGAAAGGAAATCAAATGGAAGTTCTGAGTGCTTGGAGGAGAGGAACTGAGGGTATGGGGACGTGGCAAGGAAAGGGAGGGCCAGCAAGCTGCAGTGGGCTGGAGTGAGCTCCCAGCTTCGGCTGGCTGGGCGGAGATGATTTCACACCACAAAAATGTCTGATTCAGGAGAATAACCTAACTTGGGATGGGGCTGGGAAGTGAGCCGTTCAGTGGGAGGTGGGGGAGCTGGAGCTCTCAGTGTTGGGCCAGATAGGGTGGCTGGCTATGATCTGTTCTGACCCTTGTGTCTCCCTCATTGTTCTGGGATCTTAGGAAAGAAACAATTCTCCCATGCTGCAAGTGAAAGGGCAGAATCCAGCCTCTAGAGAGTTAGCAAGACAAACTTAGGGTTGCAACCCTGAAGAATCATAAAGTCTCTGCCAGCAAACTCAGGGATCTGAGTAAGGAATTCACGGGAGGAAGAGAAGCAGGCGATAGAGGAGGAA